GCCATTTCTTGTATTCTTCATTCTTTCAATCTGTTTTTCTATATGCCTGCTTGAAATAACTACCCTTTCAATCTTTGTGGTGCAAGTTTGCTAGTCACGGATTCCTTGTTTTTGTTTCTTTGAAAAAAGACTGTGTTTTTCCTTACTTAATTTTTTTTTATTTTGAAAATTACAGATTCACAGGAAGCTGCAAAAATGATAGAGGTCCTGTAGATCCTTCACTCAGTATCCCTCATTAATAGCATCTAACATAATAATAGCACAGTATTAAAACCTGAAAATTGGGCGCCTGGGTGGCTCAGTTGGTTAAGCGACTGCCTTCGGCTCAGGTCATGATCCTGGAGTCCCTGGACCGAGTCCCGCATTGGGCTCCCTGCTCGGCGGGGAGTTTGCTTCTCCCTCTGCCCCTCCCCCCTCTCATGTGCTTGCTCTCTCTCATTCTCTCTCTCTCAAATAAATAAATAAAATCTTTAAAAAAAATAAAAATAAAACCTGAAAATTGACATTGGTATAATCCACAGGCATTATTCAGATTTCACCAGTTCTGTATGCACTTGTGTGTGTTTGGACCCCCTTAAATTTTTGAAGGATATTTTCACTAGATAGAGAATTACCAATTGGAAGTTTCTGTTTTGTTTTTTTTTAAGATTTTTAAATTTATTTATTTAATTGACAGAGAGAGACAGCGTGAGAGGGAACACAAGAAGGGGGAGTGGGAGAGGGAGAAGCAGGCTTCTGGCTGAGCAGGGAGCCCGATGCGGGGCTCGATCCCAAGACCCTGGGATCATGACCTGAGCTGAAGGCAGTCGCTTAACCAACTGAGCCACCCAGGCGCCCCAGTTTCTATCTTCTTTTGGTACTTTGAAGATATCATCCCATTGTTCTCTGGGTTATGTCATTTCTGACAAAAAGTTCACAGTAATTCTTTTCTTTCTACCCTTGTATATTTGTATCTTTTATCTTTGCTCTTAAGACATTCTCTGTTACTGGTTTTCAGCAATTTCATAATGATGTGTTTTCTCAGTTTTGTGTGGAGTGTTTATTTGGCTTAAAGTTTGTTGAACTTTTTGAATCTGTGGGTTTATAGTGTTCATCAAATTTGGAAAAGTTTGGCTATTATTTCTTCCAGTATTTTTTCTGTACCCCTTCTCTCCCTCCCCCAACCTGTAACTTCAATTATACTTTTGTTAGGCCACTTGATATTATCCCACTGATAATGTATTAGTGATATTAGGTCACTGATGTTTTTAGCCTTTTTTCCCTTATATTTTTTATTTGAATAGATTCTGTTGCTGTCTTCAGTAGTTCACTGATCTTTTCTTTGCAGTGTCTAATATGCTCTTAACTAATGAAATGTTCATTTTGATACATTATTCATCTGTAGAAGTTCCATTTGATTTTTTTATATTCTGAATTTATGTCCTCATTATATTAACATATATAATTAAAATAGCTGTTTTGACAGTCTTGTCTGCTGTATCCATCATATTTCTCATTTATGGATTGTTTCTATTGAATTTTTCTTCTGGATATCAATCACATTTTCCTGCTTCTTGGTTTAGTTAGTGATTTTATACTGGATGCTAGACATTGTGAATATTATATTGTTGAGTAGCTGTATTTAATGTACTCTTTGAACACAAGTAGTTATTTGTCAGTTTAGTCCCTTTAAGGCCTGTTTTTAAGTTTGGCCGGGGTTGGTCTAGAGTAGCCACTAGGTGTGGCCTAGTCCTCAGTATATTCAAAAGATACCCTGTGTAGATTCCTGAAGCTCCCTCCTAATGGAGTTCCTCCTTTTTTGAACCCTTCTCAGAAATTCCAGCTGCTTCAGTCTCCTCCAACTTCCATCTCTGTCTCCTCAGCTCAGCAGACCTTGGTTCTGTTTGTATTTTCTCCTCCTTATACCCACAGTGTGGATATTGCCTCCAGGCAGAATGCTGGGGTGATTGTAGGACTACTCCATTTATTTCTCTTCTCTCAGTAATCATAATCCTACCGTTTTCCTTTATCTCTAAATAGTTATTTAATGTTTTTTTTAGTTGTTTACAGTGTGTTTTTATGTTAGTTTCTTATTATTTGATCAAGGGTGGAAGCCTTAATCTCTGCTTTGTTTTGTTTTTTGGTCAAATTAAAGTCAATAGGTACACTCCACAAGTTTCTCTGACCATGGATTATGTCACACAAACATGCTTATTAATATTAGTAACTCACTTAAAAAAAAAAAGTCTGCTCTCTTTTTATCTTTCACTCCAGCTAAAATTGAGGTTTGTATCATTTCCTAAAGATGCTTTTGTTCTTTTTTATTTCTATAGCAGAACTCCTCAAAAGCATTTTCTTAATTTTTTCACGTCCTTATCTTGCAAAGAAAGCTTTTAAATTTTTGCCTGTATGTATCCTGCAAAGCCATGATATTAATGGTCCTTACCTTTGTTTAATAGTATATAGTTTACAAATTGCTATCACATACATATGATAGTTGTGTGTAGTCATGTGTTTTTATTCTATAGATCTGCACCTCCCCCCAGTTCTTTATTCCCTTCTCCCCCAGCTTAGGTTTCATGGTGTACTACTTAATTATCCATTGTATATATTAATTTTGTGTGCCCATCATTCATGTAGAATAGTACCTGGCACATAGTAAGTGCTCAATAAATATGAACAAGTAACTAGGCATAGCTATCATTACCACCAATTTCAGATATGGAAACTGAGACTACCACAGCTCATAGGTCCTCTGACCCCAAGTTTATTGCTTTTTGTACCTTAGCCACTTATTTCTAGAACCTTATCTGATCATTTATTTGTCTTCATCTGATTATTCCTCTTCTGACTTACTGTGACAATTTGTGTTACTCTTAAAGCATTTGCTACCATTTTGTCAGTGCTGTGGCTACTAATACATAGCTCTCTCTATTCTTGCCTTCTCCCAGTTCCTTAGGAATGCTTTAAAAGTTAAGAGAGGATGGCAAATTATTTCTCATTGGATCTCATAGTAATTGAGTTTTAAAGTGAGATTTTAATTCCTTTAGGCTATCTAGATTTTTCTTTTAAAGCTAATGTAAAATTCAAGGTTTGAAATCTTTCCTAAAATTTTTCTCTAACATGTAAACTGCTTAATTTTTTTTTTTTTGGTAACAATAGATTTACTTTATTATTTTCAGCTTATAAGCTCTCTCATAAAAAATATTGGTATCTTGTCTGCACTTTGTAAAAAGTACTTGAGTGTGATTGAAAACAGAAATGTTTTCAAGTTTTTGGTAAGGTTTTCCCTTTCCTTAGTGGATTTGCTCATATAGGAATACTTTATTTCATATATTATTTTTCTAACGTTTTTTGTTTTTCTCTTCTCCCAAGAAGGGGGCCATATTGATTCATGGGTAGAGGAACATAATGTGGTGTTGGATGGTTTTCATTTTTCTGTGAAGTAGGTTACAAAGTTACCAGCAGGAAAGAGAAGGGCAAAGATTTATTTTCATATCTTATAGGTGGAGGCCAAAATGAGGCAGCTAGAATTGTGGACTTTGTAGCTAAGGAGAATTTCTGCCTTTTCCATGTGAACAGTGAGATAAATCAAGCTTGCTCTTACTGTAGCTACCACCCACAAAGCTGTGAAGGCTGGTGATAGCAGATGGTATTCATACACAGTTTGATTTGTTTAAAAACCCACATAAAGAGCAGCATGTGTTTTGTTGTGTGTTGTTTTGCCCTTAATTACTTAGGGTCAGGGAGATCAGTTTTCAAATAAAACACAGTGATACAGCCAGGAGAAAAAAATTTATGGAAGAAGAAAACAGAGAACTGTATTTTTAACTGCATCATTTTAATTCCATGATATTTATTGAATATCTCTTGTATATAAGGCTCTGTACTAGGTATTGTAGGGGATGCAAAGAAGAGTGATTTAAGTACAAAATAAATTCAGTTGAATAAACATGTCGTTAGTGCCTCTTCTATGCCACTGAAGTTCCGGGAATACAGAAATTCACACTGTTTCTATCCTCAATGAGCTTACATTAATTGTGGGGAAAATGAAGTAAATAGATAGTTTCAGTTCTGCACAGCACACATATGCTATATGTGTGTCAAGGTGTTGTAGGAGCTCTGAAGAAAGGGTACCTAATCCAACCTGGGAGGAGAATGAGAAAGATAATGAGGGAAGGCTTCTTGGAGGAGGTAAAACCCTCATGTACACTCCTCGTTGAGTCTTAAAGGATGGATAGGTGCGGGCTACGTAAAAATGAGCAGGGAGGAGGGATCAGGGCAGAAGGAAGAGCATGAGATGAGCAAAGGTTCAGAGGCAAGAAACATCATAGCTGTTTGGGAGATATATCTGAAGGTAACATCTTGCAGGAGATGAGATTATAGTGCCAGGTTATGGTAGAGTTTGGAGTTTATCGTACATGTTCATGTTTCTTCTGTAGACTCTCTGCAACAGCATCTCTTAGAATATTTGCAGAAATGCAAGTCTAAACCTACCCCAAGATGTAGAACATGAATCCATAAGATCTGTTGTTTTTGCTAAGAGTTGGGACTTTCCCTGTAAGGCTAATGTAGAATGCTCTGTTTTTAACAAATATTTCTTATATGATACACTTTGTTAGGTTTATACAAACACAGTATTTATGAGCGTTTGTGCCTTACATAGCTGTTTTGGGGAGGTTCCCAAAGGAAGAACTATAGTGACAAAGAGTTGCTTATAAAATAAGTATAGAGGACCTCTATACTATATAAAAAGAGATAGAAAATTCCAAACAAAAAGTAATTTGAAAGCCTAATTCATGACTACATCTTTAAGGATATATCTTTCTAATACCAATTCAGGGTAAGAATTCTCTGAGCCCTCTGTCACTCGGTGCTCGGCCCCCAAACTTTGGGTGTGTGTTTGTGTGTAAGTGTGTGTAAAATTTGGGAGAAAGCAAGGAATATGGAAATGGAAAATGTTGCAGAATAACAGAGAGAACTTATATTTATAAATGTTCCATATATCTTTTACCATATAGGAATTAGAAAATAAAAGAAGACTACAAAAACAGGCTGCCAGTAACCAAAGTGCTACAGAAGTTCGGTTGAATAGAGCTCTAGAAGAGGCAGAAAAGTATAAACTGGAGTTAAGTAAATCAAGGCAAAATAACAAGGTATGGAAAAATTGAATAGTTTTGGTAGTGGTCACCTTTGGTAACTTCTTTTTACAAGAGTCAAAAATAATTAGTTTTTAAGTTATAATTCTTGATGTCATGGTGAACATTTCTCTTTTCAGAAGTGTGTTCATTGTTGATATGTATATCTTCCAGAAGTTAGGATTATATTGCCTGGGCTATTGCCATAATTGGGTGATAGCACAACTCTTTGGAGGATTCAGTCATTTTTTCATCCAACAAATCTTTATTGTGTGCCCATATTATGTGCCAGACATTTTTCTAATCTCTGGGGATGAGTGGTAGGAAAAAGCCTCTTTGGTATCTCAAGTCTGTTTCCTTCTCTGAGCCCCACTTTTCTAATATAGAATGCAAAGGGCTACTTTACAGGGCAGTGGTTCTCAAACTTGAGCATGTATCAGAATTACCTGGAAGGCTTGTTAAAATATATATTGCTGGGCCCCACCCCCAGAGTTTCAGATTTAGTAGATCTGGGGTGAGGCCTATTTTTACTAGTTGTAATAGCAGTTCCCTGGGTGATGCTGAAGCCACTGGTTCTGAGACGACATTTTGATAATCACTGTTACAGAGTTGTAAGGATCACTCTTGTATCCCAGTATCTAACCAATGGTTGGCATAGAATTAGCACTCAATTCCTGAAATATCTGTTGAATAAGTGCTCAAGTATTGTGTGTGAAAACCTTTTGTATACTCTATACATTTTGGCTATTAGTTTTTGGTTCTATGTCAGCCTAAAAGTGATGCTCCATTGGAATCTCTCCTTTAGGACAATATTGAATAATTTAACAGTGGCTCGGATGATGAAGTTAGGACCCACCTTCATTACATACACAGATGATACATTTTCTATTAAACTAATAACACTTAATAGGACATAGAACTAAACTGAACTTGATAAATCCTCCAACACGTTTAACAAAGGCAGATATGTTACAGAGACTACAGAGTTTTAAGATCTCTTCTGTGAGATAGTTTATGCTCTGTGATCAGATTGTGTTCATGTTCAAGAGACATCAATGATGGTATGATGATGGGGATTTATGAATAGAAGTTATTAAATGAACAAGTTAGGAAGTCATCTTTATAGCTTGCCAATAATTAGCATGCTATTGGAATATTTCCAGTTTGGTTCACTCTGAAGGGATTTTGAAGAAAATAAAATGGAATAACCATGTATATGTCAGGATTTGCTAATTCTTGGTTGTAGATGTGATCTCTGTTTTAGCACACACATTAGAGAAGTAGAAGGGAAAACTTGTTTCCATGACAACAGTAATCCTAATCAGCCATTTTGCAAATTGACATACCAAGTCCTCATTACGTAGTTTAAAACCATCAACACTGTAAAAACAAATATGTTGAAGACAAATTTCTGATCCCAAGTCTACATTATGGATGATCAGTTTAAACATAGTGGGAGAACATTTTGTGTAACTACTTGCTATCAAGTAGACATTTTGAGATCAGAGTTCTGAGATGTAACTTTGTCAAATTTCTGAAAAAATATGAGTCTTAAGTTTTTAATTTTTCAATTATTTTGCTTCATTTTTTTTTTAAAGATTTTTTATTTATTTATTTGAGAGAGAGAATGAAATAGAGAGAGCATGAGAGGGGGAAAGGTCAGAGGGAGAAGCAGACTCCCCGCTGAGCAGGGAGCCCGATGTGGGACTCGATCCAGGGACTCCAGGATCATGACCTGAGCCGAAGGCAGTCGCCTAACCAACTGAGCCACCCAGGCGCCCTTAGAGTAACTTTTGAAATGAAAAGTCAGTCAAGTTAAACTAGATGCTGCCTGAGTGCAGGGACTCTGACTGTCTCATTCACTGCTGTGTCTCAGTGTCTTGAATGTAGTAATTGCCTCTGAAACACACTGCAGGAAGGAATGTGGAAAGACAACTATGAGATGCTTTAATTGGAATGCTTCTTAAAAACAGAACATTTGATTAGATGGTTTGCTTGTAGTCCATTTAAAATATGTCACCATGGGGCGCCTGGGTGGCTCAGTCGTTAAGCGCCTGCCTTCGGCTCAGGTCATGATCCCAGCGTTCTGGGATTGAGCCCCGCATCGGGCTCCCCGCTCGGCGGGAAGCCTGCCTCCCCCCCTCCCACTCCCCCTGCCTGTGTTCCCTCTCTCGCTGGGTGTCTCTCTGTCAAATAAATAAATAAAATCTTTAAAAAAAATAAATAAATAAAATATGTCACCAAGCCCATGTTACTTCATTTAGGAACAGATAATTTCTAATTCTTCATTCATTTAGAAATATTTATGAGGACCTTCTAGGTACCTGCTAGATCTTTACTAGAGGCTGGAGGTATAAAGGTGATAAAAAAAATAAATGTGGTCTGTGTAATCATGCATTTTGTAGTGGAGAAGCTGTGTGTTATTTAGACAATTCATCAAGTAAAACTGAGGTGCAGCTGTGCTTTGAGCAAGTAACCAGGTCAAGGAATGCTTTTTAAAAAATGTAATTCTAAGCTAAGATCTGAATAATATTAACAAGTTATATGCTAGGAAGAGATTATGGACAAAAGGAATCCTTTGTAAAAAATGGCTCTGTGGCAGGAAAAAAGACAAGGTCATGAAAGTCAGGGATGGAAGTGAAGGGAGTATTATCAAATGAGCCTCAAACATAGGTAGAGGCCAAACCATCTAGATCCTTTAGGCTGTGTTAAGTATTTTGGCTTTTATCCAAAGAGTAGTACAAAGCCACTGCATGGTTATTTTGAACAAGGTTGGGGGAGACCATGCTATGATCATATGAGCACCTGGAAAGTGTTTTTGTTTGTTGTGTGGAGAATTCATTGGAGGGGGGCAAGAATGGATGCTGGTTAAGAATAGCGGTGTGAGAGATGATGAGGTAGCTTGGCCTAAACTGATAGTGGTAAAAATGGAGAGAAACCAAGTATCAAAATACACTGAAGAGAGAAAAATCACTAGGACATGGTGATGGACTGGATATGGGATTGTGGGAAAGGGAAGCTTTCAAGAGGACATTTTGATTTTTTATTTTCAGAACCAGATAGATCGTGCCATTCCCTGGAATAGGTTGGGAAAGAAGCTTGAGTTATTTTAGAACATCTTGAAGTTCATCCCATTGCTGCATGTGACAGTAGTTCACTTTTAATAATTTTCCACTTGGTATAAATATACCAAACAATACCACCTTGTTGATGGACTTAGGGTTGTTTCCAGTGATCGCTATTACAAATAAAGCTGCAATGCACATTCACATATAAGTCTTTGTGTAGACATCTGTTTTCATTTCTCTTGGGTAAATACCTAGATTTAAATTCTGAGTTTTATTATAGATGTACATTCAACTGCTGAACTGTTTTCCAAAAGGCTCTAACAATTTATATTCCCCACAGCAGCATTTGAAAGTTTTAGCTATACCATATCTTCACCAGCGTTTGATATAGTCAGGCTTTTACATTTCACTGTGCCGGTGGGTGACTAATTGTATCTTATTGTGGTTACTTTTTTTTTTTAAGATTTTATTTATTTGAGAGAGAGAATGAGAGACAGAGAGCATGAGTGGGAGGAGGGTCAGAGGGAGAAGCAGACTCCCTGCTGAGCAGGGAGCCCAACGTGGGACTCGATCCCAGGACTCCAGGATCATGACCTGAGCTGAAGGCAGTCGCTTAACCAACTGAGCCACCCAGGCGCCCCTTATTGTGGTTACTTTACATATTCCTAATGACCAGTGAATGATACTGAGCATCCTCATATGCTTATTTGCTATCTTGATATCTTTTCCCCCAGTTTTATTGAGATATAATTGACATACAGCACTGTGTAAGTTTAAGGTCTAGAGCATAATGATTTGATTTACATATATTGTGAAATTATTGCCACAGTAAGTTTATTTAATATCCATCATCTCATAGTGATACAAAAAAATCAGAAAAGCTTTTTTTCTGGTATTGAGAATTCTTAGGATCTACTCTCTTAACAACTTTCAAATATACCATACAACAGTTATGTGTAGTTATCATGTTGTATATTACATTTCTAGTTCTTTTTTATCTTATAACTGGAAGTTTGTGCCTTTTGACCACCTTCCTTCTGTTTTTCTATGCATTTTTTAAAAGACTTTTTAAAAAAAATTTTTTTAAGTATGAGTAAGATCACACAGTATTTGTCTTTCTCTGTCTGACTTACTTCACTTAGCATAATGCCCTCAAGGTCTATCCATGTTGTGAATGGCAGGATTTCTTTTTTGTGGCTGAATAATATGCCAATGATACCACAACATCTTCATCCATTCATCCATTGATGGACACTTAGGTTGTTTCCATGTCTTGGCTATTGTAAATAATGTTGCCATGAACATGGGGTTGCAGATATCTCTTTGATGTGGTATTTTCATTTCGTTTGGATATATTCACAGAAGAGGAATTACTGGATTATATGATAGTTGTATTTTAAATTTTTTGAGGAACCTCTAAACTGTTTTCCATTGTGGTTTTACCAATGTACAATCCCACTAATAGTGCACGAGTGTTCCCTTTTCTCCACATCCTCTCCATCATTTGTTATCTCTTGCTTTTTGATGATAGCCATTCAAACAAGCATGAGGTGATTTCTCATTGTGGTTTTAATGTGCATTTCCCTGATGATTAGTGATGTTGAGCACCTTTTCATGTACCTGTTAGCCATTTTTAGTCTATCATCTTTGGAAAATATCTTCAAGTCCTTTGCCCATTTTTTAATTGGATTATTTGTGGAGTTTTTTATTATTGAGTTGTATGATTTCTGGACATATTTTAAATATTAACCCCTTATCAGCTATATGGTTTGCAACTACTTCTTCCCATTCTGTAGGTTGCAATTTCATTTTGTTGATCATTTCTTTTGCTGTGCAGAAGCTTTTTAGTTTGATGTAGTTCCCCTTGTTTTTTTTATTTTGTTACTGGTGTTTTATATGTCATATCCAAAAACTCATAGTCAAGACCCATGTCAAGGAGTTGTTTTCCTA